CAAGAGTCGGAAGGAAAGCTTCCATAAATCCAGCCCAGTATTAAAGCTGGTTTTGGCACACATGGACCTTGCTGCCATTTTGAACCTCTTGTTAGAATATGTGTTCAAATTTGTACAGGAGACCTTTTTTATCTAATGAACTGCAGCCTCCACTGAGTATTACCATTGAGAGCAGAGGATTAAAATCATCCTTTGTTAAGGAATCCCATTGTAATGATACACATTTAAACATCAAAGCATTAGTTTATGAGCACAGGCATGCTTTAATGTCCTATTACAGTGTGTAGACCTGTTTCTTTTGATAATGAAGACATTGTGTCATCGGCATCGGCTGCCACATACAAAACGGATGCTGGCAGGTTATTAAAAAATTCAGCTTCTTGATGAAAGACTATCCTGCAGGCTAAGAGTACACTGGAAAACTCGCCATTCTGCTAGAATTATTAGAAATGAGAACATGACTGTAAGCACTAAATTATGTTAATACTTACAAATAGCATCATTTGCATAGCAGTTTAAGACACGATACCCAGGTTTTCCTCATTGGTAGGGAGTAGGCAACAGATTAAAAATAATATAGTTTGTGAGTTTGAACTGTGTAAGAAATGTATTCCATCTAAAAATGAGGCTGATTTTAGATCCTCGTTTCAAGTGTAATGTTGGGCAAGCAGAAGTGCAGGACAGGATTACTGAGCTATTTTACGCTGTTAACTTAATGCAGCATCTGAGTTATTTGAAGAATTATTCTCCAAGTGCATAATACATACACAAACCTTGCCAAACATCTCTAAGGCCTTTGTCCTACTGGGCACTGCTGAGGTCTGTCATCCTGAGGCCCAGATTCTTATGATATTTGATATTAAGAGAACTGCTGCCTCCCCATGTGCACATTGGGCAGTCGTGAGGCCATTTGTGGGGACATTCTCCCCTGTAAAAGCCACGCGGTCATGACCTTGCAGAAAGGTGCTCGGATTCCTGCTCGGAATTCAAGCTGAAGATTGGTAGAAGAGTGGTCTACAAAGTAGATTTGCTGCCTTCTGTTTGATAAATCAAAGTCTGTGATGCTTCCTGATCTCTGAATCTTGGGACTCAAACTGCCACCTCAGACTCTCAGAACTTCTGACATCTTCCTCCCTTTTAGAGGAGAGGTAACATCACCTTCCCCTTAGTGTGGCCTTTTTTCTTCTTTTAACAGTTCCCCTTTTAGATAAAATAATACAGAACTATGCAGAGATGCCGCCCTATTGTATAACTATAGAACTCTAAATAATATCTAAATTAAATTACTAGTCAAATTAATTTTAGAATGATCTTTTATTACACTACAACTCTTAATTAAGCACCAGGACCAGCAGCCTGGTGTGAGTTCTTACCTAGCAGCAATCCTAAAGATAAGATCAGACAAAAGACAAAGAAAGGGTGAAGTGTGGGGATAAAGACGAGCTGAAAAGCCAAAAATAGAACAAGACACAGAAAACCAAGCAACAAATATTCTCTCAATAAGCCATTATAATCGGCCCTGGCTACACAACCATTTCAAAACCCTCCATTAAATATCTGCTGTAGAAGAAAAAAAGCTATTTAATGTGCTTTGGCAGCCTACTGTTTTAAATGTTAGAGTGTTTGAATCCTACTGCCTCCAGTTGCGTCATGGTATTTTGTCACGGTTTCTTTTCCTACAGACTCTATCTTCGTAAATTCACTAAAATGCATAAATGGAAATCAAAATCTTCTCAAAAGGTGACAAAACTAGAAAACCCAGCTTTTGGTCTGGGTTGTACAAAGCAATATTCAGACACTGGTTGCAGGATTTTGCATTGATTGCTATTGGAAAATTAGAGTTTTAAAGGCTGAGATAAACTGATACAAAAAGATGGATGTTCCCTTAAATTAAAAATTTTGGTCAACTTTAGAAAGTGCTGTAATAAGTAATAGGTAAACTTTGTGATTATCTGAAATTAGGAATAGTGGTGAAAGGATGCTTTACTGGTTGAATGAATTGCATTCACTCAAAGAAAACTGAAACTTATGTACCACATCTTATTTCTTTACTGTAGGAAGGAATTCAGGGTAGAGAGCATGTTTGTAAGCAGGTCAAAATAAAACCAACCATAACACTGACAAAGAAACAATTTTAGAGAGCATGCTGGCAATGCCATGTATTGTTTCTGACCCTCTTTGAGCACAGTGCAGCTTCCTAACACTGCTTTTTCCCTGCCACAACCCAATCTCATTTTCACCGCTCCCATCACCTTTTGTATCACCACTAGCTTCATCCTAGGGCAGTGCTACAGGTATTACTGCAACTGGAATAAATGGCAAGTAATTGAGTTGTTCTTGGTGCAGCACCTGAGTCTAGAGAGGGTTCTTGGGCAGGCAGCCTTTGCTTCTGTGTTACTGCGCTCATGCCCTGGCAGGTGTGTTCTTTCCTCAGCCTGAGGAGGGCTGGGGACTGACATATCCTCACAAGGCGCATTTACAGCATCCTGACAGGCTTTTAAAATTCCTCATAACTGATACGATGTTCAATAGGAAAAGAGAGAGAACCCAAAGACTTCAGACAGACATTGATTACCTATACAGCAATGCAGCTGCAGGTTGTTTCCTGGTATGGGCAGTGCTCTGTCAGCAGTATATCCTAAATAATTGAAATATTCACTGTAGCTGCAGTCAGTCTGTAGTGCTCTTACTCAGCTCATTAACATATCTGTGTATCTGCCACGGTGATGTCTCAGGTGATTCTCAAATCTTAAGTAAAATAAAGCATGATAATTGTATCCCTTGGTTCAATTGAAGCCAGGATATCCATTCCCGAGCCTTGCAATAATCAGATATGCAAGCTGTTGGTTTGTATGTCCTATTGATTTAATATGCTTCTAATCAGTACATAAAGCTATAGGCCTGCAGTGTTAATTTTTCATATGCTTACAAAGTACCCTTTGATTTTCTGTCACGCGTTAATTACAGCGTTTTGCCATTAAATAGGAAGCTTTGTGTAAACTAATTACAAGGTAATCATTGTGTACCGCGAGCGTGCTGTTTGTACCTTTTAGTTGAGACTAAAACCGCACAGATCTCGCAGTCTGGAACCACTATACCTTCCAGCCATTAGCTCTCACTAATTCATAGCATTATTGTGCTAAGATTGTAGGAGTTGTAATTGTTGTGGTATCAGTGCTGTTAATTACCGGAGTAAACAGTTGAAATGGTGCCAAGGTCTATTGTACAAGGCAGAGGAAAGGAGGTTTAAATGTTACTTCCACCATCTGGGGACTGGAGTAGAGGCAAATGCTAGAAAACAGCAGTGAGGCAATATCAGAACTTCAGCTCCAGGGTTTTAGGCCATATGGATCCAGAATATTTTGAATCAATTGAATTTAAGTGCCAGTTTGTAGCAATAACAGTGTGGAAGGAGAGGATAAAGCAAGAGCACTAAAGAAATCTGAAATCCGTTAATGTTATCGCAGCCAATAAAATGCCTGCTTGGATTATTTTAAAAACGTTTATTTTGCTAAAATCCAAAAAGTAACACCCAGGCAACTCGGGGAATAAAGGAAGTTTAACTGTGTGCTGCTCATGAAACACAAAGCAGGTTCTGCCTGACAATGCCTTTAGCACTGCAGCTCCTCAAGTTAGATACAATTCCTGGGAAGTGGCTGTGGATTATCTATGTGATGTCTCTTTTTCTTCTTGAAACCATATTTTTGGGCTTCATTAGAATCTTTTCTTTAGAGAGACAAGCCAGAACGGAGGGTGAGTGAGCCAAATGCAGAGAGATTGGCAGAGGAAAATAAATTAATTACAAAAATACTATTAATCTGAGGGCATCTGGTTTGTTTGAGCATTTGCAGAGATTTCATTAAAATACAGAAAAGATGCATTCACGTATTACTTGGGTCATTTTCTATGGAATTAACATCCCATTGCCCTGAACTTACAGATGCTGCATTTGAAGTAAAGATACAGGGTTTTTTTTTAAAGGAGAGATTTTTGAAGGTTATGACAATTATGTTACTTTTTCTTTGCTCCGAAGGTAGATGTGGGGAACGAAGGCTGCAAGCTTACAAAAGACGTGCTGCTATGGATAAAACAGCAATGCACATAGAGAATTTTTTTTTTATTGAAAAAGAAAACTATTTAATACAATTATCCTAATCCCAAATTAATCTGTGCGTAAACATGCAGAATTATTTGACAAGTTCATCAAGGAGCTTTCAGAATCCTCTGTCTGATTTTTGGTAGCTGTTGTGATTCTCTATTTGATTTCCCTGCAGATAGTGTTTTCCAAGATGACATCTACGAACAGGGCTCTGGCAGCATATTGCTGCTGCCACATTAGGAGTGTTTGGAGGAAATAGAAAGGGTCTCTCTTTCTAAACGATCCTGGTTTATTTATTTTTTATTGGTCTGTTAGCAGATGTTGAAGTAGTTCAGGGCACAATGTAAACATGTGCTTTTCAATGGAGGTACGCTAAATAGCAACGTGTACAATGGAACAGGCAATTGGGAGGGGGTTTTGGGGGCAGGCCAGTGGGTTTTTTGCTTTTTGTGTGTGTGTATGTAGTTGAATTTAGAATTTAAAAGAAGCACTTGATCTTTATATATTGAAATCTTCAGCGTGCAGAGTGACAGCATGAGCCAGAAGAGAAACCCATGGCCCCATGTGGTGTGAAAAAAGGAACAGCAGTTTAAGTGCTGGAAAGTTGAAAGAGAACTAACCTTCTTGTTCTTGTAGTCACGGAAAGTGGCTGTTTTGTGCTTCTGTATTGAAGCATAGCATATGTGCCTGGGTTTGACAAAAAGCCTCTCAAGTCAAAGCAAGCCTCGGCCTGGGTGCTGATCCAAAGCGAAGGCCGCGATAATGAGGGACGGGCTCTCAGGAAGCAGCGAGTAGATAATACGACGTAAGTGGCGAATTCGGTGCTCTGTTTTCACCATTGTACTTAATGCAAGTCGCAGGCCCGGCGTGTCGCTCACCACACAGCTGCAATGGGCCATTAGCTATCAGGGAAAATTGTCTTTGCTACTTTCAGCAGATGGAGCAAATATTTTACAAAGCAATTTTACATACAAAAAACATTTGTGTTACTTGGTAATGATGGCTGGTTTACACGATGCTGCCTTCTATCAGGACGTACTTTTCCAGCTCGTGGAAGGCAAAATTGGCACTTTTTAATTTTAAAATTTGCAGTTAACAATGAAATGCCCAGGCTTTACATCAGGTTGCAAACTTTAAGTAGATGGGGGATCCAGTGCATCACTTCCAAAAACCATTTCCAACGTCAGAAACTACTCGCATTGTTTTTGCTCAGTGCGGTAGATTGTGGGTCTGGCCAGCGTGTACCTGTCTGGATTAGAAACCGTATCACATCAGTTTAATTTGCAAAGTAGGAAATACTGAGGGTAATTTGGACAGTCAGACAGCAGTCACTGCCTCTTTCAACAACACCCTGTTTACTGGTGTGGCTGAGAACAGAAAATAAGCTGGACTGGACCAATTCAAGGCAGCTAGAATAAGTTATCACTGCTTCACTGTTCGCAATAGAAAGGATATACTGTGTAAATGGTATGAATTGTCATCGTGCCGTTGAAGTGGCATCAATTGCCATAGCTTCATTGACTTCCACAGGGATGTAGCACTTTGTATTACTGAGGATCTGTCTGATGGCTTTAGTCTTCCCTGGCCCAGTCAGCTTTACTTATTTGGAGTTAGTTTCTTCACTCTATTTATTTGCAAGGTCTAAATAATTTCCTTTCAATCTGATTTTTAGCTAAAAAGCCTTAGGTCTTTCTCATGCATTCTGCTCTGCAGCCTTTTTCTGTCCCCAGGTCTTTCTTCCTATTTCTAAGCCTCTTTCTTCTTTTTATTTATTTCCTTATCTTCTCAACAGGCTTTTCTTTGCTGACTGATCTAGCTGGAGTAGATTTCTTACCAGCGCCTTCAACATATGCCACATTTTCTCCTCATTTTTTATTGCAACTGCCATTCTAAGAAAGCTTTTCAAAATTCAGCTTGCAGAAGGGTGAGAAATTACATTTAGGAGGGAAAACGTAATTTTCCTTCTTGCTTATTCATTATTATAAAAAGATATAAACCCGATTTGTATAGATTTAAAGATTTTTACATGACATAAACAGTATTTGGGCTGCTCCTTTTTTACTGGTACTAAGAAACACAAGCAGAAGGATTTGAACACGTGCTCCCTGTTTCCATTCAGCCTCTGATTCTGAATTGGTTTGGGCCACATCAAGAGCTAAACCATCGGTAAGCTCTGCTGGAGATACTGTCCAATTTAAATGAAATTAGCCTACTGAGCACTGATCCCTTTAAAAGGTTTGACTTCCTATGTGAATGTTGGATCCGGGCTTGAATTTGCCTACTAAACCTCCCTATAATCAGGATTACTGCCTTTTTTAGAGCTTGCAGTTGCAAAAACAACCCCCATGAACTAGAATTCCAGGCGCTGATCCTTGAGGAGCGGTTGCCCGTGAACGGCTTGCTTCTCAAGGCATTGCTTGTTAAAAGCATTCTTATGTTGGCTTTGATCTCACAAGAACATTTTTCAGATTTCCTTGAATTAGTTATTCCTTAAATCCACTTTCTTCCTTCTGTAAGGTGACCAGGTTTGATGCCCATATCCTTCACAGGTAGCAAGTAGCAAGGGTGCTCTGAACCATGAGATGCTCCTCAGCCAGGCACTGTGCATCTGCATTGCCTTGCAGAGGAGTTGGAACTGGATGAGCTTTAAGGTCCCTTCTAACCCAAACCACTCTGTGATTCCATGAAGCAACACTGATTTCCTCCTCACAGATTCTTGGAAACAAGCAGCGTAAGACTTGAATCTGGTCAATTCTGAACTTGGATCTCATGTTTTATGTGGTCCTTTCTTTTTGCCATGTGGTTATGGCCGTGATGCTTCATCTATTGATATACTGACTAAAACCATTTTTTAATATGTTTTCTGATGTTATGTTATAGTGTATGTTATGTTATGTAGTATGTTTAAAGTTAACCACATACTTTGCTCCTTAATACATTACAGGAGCCCACATAGCCCAGATCAGCACCATTATCCAAGCACCTAAATATTTTTAAAGCATTTTTTTTCTCAATTCCATGTGAGGTAAGGACAGCAATTGTCCCCTTTCATGGCTGGTCAATGAAGGCACAGACAGAAAGTCACCTCCCTGAAATTCCAGGCAGACTGCGTTCAGGAATGAGATATATCTAGGTCTCCTTGATAGCCTAATCATTGGCCCATCCTCCTCCTCCTCATTCTGGTAGGTAAATCACAGTAAGCTGATTCTGAATTTGTATTTTTGGTGACATCACATTGTGTGCTTCATGACAAAGCCCATCTCTTCAAACTCACTGGCCTGGCAAAAATAGATTTTTATGTTTTTCCTATTCTTAGATGTTAGACATAAGGTTTTATCATGTCCCTCCAGAGCTCAAGATAATCTGATTGTGGTTTAGGACATTGCCAGGATCGGAGGACGGTTGGTCGTCTTCTGCAGCACAGGATGCTTAAGAGAGAGGATGTAAAACAGAAGCAAAGAGACCCAGGGGAAGCAGGCAAATGCTTATGAAGCAGCAAGGAAAGGAGCCTGAAGCAATAGAGTCAGGGTCCTTGCACTTTATATGCTCGTGTACTTCTGGGATGTTTCTGAACAGTAAAAGCAATGCAGTTAGTGTCTGTATTTAATGGGGTTGGTTTGTGTGTGTGTGTGTGTGATAATATAGGAAAGAATTTGAAACTAGGAAAAAACTAGTTTATCTCCTACAGCATGACTAACCCTAATCAAATTCTACCAAAGATAGAAGCACAAATATACTTGTGAATTTATGGCATAGATTGGAGAGTGTAAAAGAGTAACTACTGCTTTTGAAACAGTTTTGGTTGATCATTCCTCCTTTTTTTTAACTAAAGGGTGTTTGGGTTGATAGAACAGCTTAAATATAGAACCAGTAAAACTATGTTGGGCATTTGTGACTATTTCAATCCGCTCAGTTTCCAAATCTAAACAATGTAGAAGTTATTGACTGCAGGTATTGATCCCTCAGCAGTTACCAAGTGCTTCAGCATTTCAGTTGCCAGATCAAATTATTGATATAAATTATAATGAAATAGATGCTACACTGAAGGGGGAGGTTGGTGTCTTTCAGAGAAGGACAGATTTCAATAGGAGGGAAGAGGAGTTAAGTAGGAAAATTAAAAAAGGCTTCCTGACTGTGGGTAAACAGTAACCACATTTTTTGTGGTTGCCTGTTGGAGGCCTGGTTTTTAATCACCCCACAAGCAGTTTTCATTTCTGTAGTAAAATTGCTTGTGGTTCTATTTAATTTGTTTCTGCAGGAGCTAGCTTTGGTGAAGATCTCCCAGGAGCTGCCGGGCCTTTTAGCACAGCACGTACAGCCAGTCAATGAGAAACGATTCCCTACATGGGAAAAATTCCTCCAAACATTTCTTACTCAAGGTAAATAAGACTGCAAAGTCGCTGTTAAGTGTTATAAGGAGTAATTATACCATATTGTATGCCATATTCTTGTTAATCTTGGGCCCATTTAAATATTTATCTCCTTTTATTTCTCCATTATGCTTCAAATGTTCATTTACAAATGAATTATAGGCAACTACTCTATCATTCATGTGTCCTATCCAAGCTTGTAACATATTCATCTGGGATCACCTTTCTTGCATGATTCTCAATCAATAAGCACCAGTTCCTTAACCCTGGGTTACTGTACAAAGGCTGTCACGTTTGGTAAAGGGCTTTAGGGAATGCCAGTGAGATTGCACCAGGTAAATGGGAGAATGTTTCATCTAGGTTAGGTGTTGGGAAGCATACCTCTGTGAGAGTGGCTTTTTCCTGCCACAGAACCAGGAAGGGAGCTGTATGTGAACTCTGGATGCTATGTACATAGGCTGCATGCTATCAGATGTTATCATGGTGCTGAGTCCTGAGCAGGGCTTCCTGCGCTAAACCCACTTGTGGCAGCTTTGGCTCAAAGCTGCCCAGTATGTAACTAGTTTAAGGCTCAAGGTGAGCCCATGTGTACATGTAGGAGGCAGCACAGATCAAACCCTGTTGAACCTCTGCAAATTAGTGTATCTGTGAGGGGGCTTTGCACAGACATAGACTCACAGAATGGTTTGGTTTGGAAGGGACCCTAAAGATCAACCAGTTCCTGTATTTGTGTGCCCCATTTTTTATATTTATTATTTTTTTATTTTATTGTTTATGCCACAGTTGAAAGGGGATAGATTCAAATGAGCTCTTAGTCAGAAGCTCTTCCCTGTGAGGGTGCTGAGGCACTGGCACAGGGTGCCCAGAGAAGCTGTGGCTGCCCCATCCCTGGCAGTGTTCAAGGCCAGGTTGGACACAGGGGCTTGGAGCAACCTGCTCTAGTGGAAGGTGTCCCTGCCCATGGCAGGGGGTTGGAACTGGAGGAGCTTTAAGGTCTCTTCCAGCCCAAACCCGTCTGTGATTGTATGGATGGAATCTCTGAGATTAGTTCGCAGCAGGAGATACCGCTCCCCTGAGGTTCCAATATTGCATTTTACTGCTATTCCAGGCCTGGGGTTTAGCTGGGCTGTGGGACAGCCCAGGATCCATTCGTATTACACCAGAGCATGTTTCTCCAGTGCCGTATCCAGTTTGGAAATGCTTGAAAGCATCTGCAGCTGAAAAGGCACTGTTTGAACTGTACAGTGCTATAGCAGACGAGAGATCTTCTTTCTCTTGGAAGAGATTCATGGGTTCTAGCTCTGCTGCTCACATTACATTTATTTACTTGCTGTATCTCCATGGCAGTCCTCCCTGCAATGCCTGAGCACAATAGGAGCTGGCTGTTTTCACTCTGTGCACTCTGAAGAGCATCACATGTGAATTTGATTACAAGCTTAACAGCTAATTCATTTCTTACTAGGTGGTGTGATAGAAGCCTTCCCACTCTCAGAGCATGTCACCAACCTCACGGTGGATATGCTGATAGAGCCCACGGGCAAGATAAAAATAGTGTCATCTGGAGACCAGCTCCACGCTGAGGGTCCTCTGCGATCATCTGGCACCACCATTCCCCAACGTTCTGTTGATCCAGCAGTTCTTAATTCACTTTGTTTTAAAATTGGAGAGACCTGTAAATCTAAAGGAGTGCTGGGTTACTTCTCAGTGGATTTTGTGACTTTCATCCACCCACAAATGATGGAGCAGCAGGTGAGTGGGGCAGACTATGTCACTTCATGCTGTCCTCCTGGGATCAAGAAACAGCTGCTTTCCTGCTTGGTTCCAGCAGAGATCAGGAGAAAGCTTTGCCCTTTGAACACACTTTATTTCTAAGCCATGATGCATGTGGATGGAGGTAGAGCACATGGTTATTCTAACAATAGCATAAAATTTAGACCTGATCTGCCAGGTGGATCTGAGGAGCCTTTTTCATCAGCCTGAAGAGTAACAAACCAGCAAAGCCTTTCAGAGCTGAGTGGTAAGAGAATAATGTTTTA